TTTTTTTTTGGTGCAGCTGAGACCAAAGTCGACCAAGAGCTATAGATTATGACCATTTATTTATTTATTTATTTTTATTCTGCATTGAAGAAGTTCATGAGTCCGCTTTTAGGAGTGCTATTTTTTTCTTTAATAAAGTTTGTTATTTTATATTTGTACAAATTAAATTTTGGATTGGTTTTCTAATTTATGGGTGTTTTTAGAATTATTAGTTGTATAATGGCATTATATTTTTAAAGTTTGAACGTCGGTAAACATAAACAGTAGAAAAATATTTAACTGAATATGAGTCACTATGTTAATTGAATAATGACAAATTAAATAGCTGAAAAAAATATTAAATTTACTATTACAACAAATTCTTATGAAATTTTAAGAGTTTGAGTCTGACTTTATCGTTAATATCAATTAGTTTGCTTAAAAAACAATCGCTTAATTGGATAAAAAAATAATATTAATTTAAAAATAATTAGATTAAATAAAAAATTTACAATATAATTTTTTATATTTATGTAACTTTCATATACTATAAAATATTATTAGTTAGTTTTAATAATACCTATTATAATATGGAATAGTTAAACAAATAATAATTACACATTTAATATGAAATACAACCATTTTTTTGTTATAATTAATTTAAACAAGTGTGAGAAACAATTTCTTTTATATTAAATTCTTTCACCCTTTGTAACACATATCTCTTTTATACATTAGTTTGTGCACATTCGGTCCTTGTTATATTTATAATCAAACTAATTAAAATAAATATAAGTCATTTACTTAACAAAAACAGAAACGAAAACACTATTAGAATCATAAGCGGATTTTAACAACATGCCCGTTGTCTTTCTATGCCGATAGGTTGTTAAGAAATTTATAATTTAAAATAAAAAAAAAAAATATTTTAATTCTTAAGTACTTTTTAAAAGTTATATAACTAGAGATTTATAATTAAAAAAAAAAAAGTTAAGTACTTTTTTAAAAGTTATATAACTATTTATATTTAAAATGACAACGGTCATTTATACGACTTACCATCTTATATTATAATAACTTTTTTAACTTATATCATATAACTACTTGATTAAAATAAATTAAAGTATATATTTTTATATTTTAAGTAATATTAATATGTAATTTGATTCTTATTATAGTGATCAATATAATTATTCATTTATTTGTATGTACAATATAAATGCAAATATTTTGGGATTTTGTAAGGCCCTCCAGTCTTTTACTCTACTCTAGAGTAGAGAATGCCAAAACTTATTTTCGGCTCCCGTCGTTCGCGCTACTTTTTATTCAATATGAAATATATTAATACAAAATAAAATTTAAATATAACTTTTTTTCCAATGATATAATAACTCCATTAATCAAACCAAAACAAAGTTAATGTACAACAAGAATCTCGTAATCCTGGGTAGCTGGGAGGCAAGCTGGCCAAGCTGCCTAACTGAAACAAAGACCAACAATACAATATCAACAGTAATCCATTCTGCCTGAAATGTAAGTAGATAGTTGGATCCTCTCTTCAGATATTTCATTGAACTTCATTGTGCTAATCCACCACCACCGTTCTTTGAAGCTCATCTGCTCCTGCTGAATCATATTCCATTGCACAAGAGCTAGCTTCCAAATTAATAAAGCTCTCCTGCACAAAAATAACACATGCTCTTAGATTTCCACCTCCTCACAGATTCTGCATTGAGTATCTACTTTGATCCCTCTGATGTGTGGATTATCACTACAGGAATGATGTTAGAAAAGCACTTACAAATGAAGTGTTTAACCTTGCCCATCACCTTCAAGTTCCAGCATTTACTTCTAGCTCTAAAATTTCCCCCAGCCATCCAGCTAGATTCAACACAATTTCTCAAAAATTTATATTATTTAACAAAATAAATTATTTTATTGATGTTTATTTTATTATAATAGTATCAATAATGTTCATATTTTCATAGTAGTCGAAATAGGGGTGGACAAAAAAGTCAAATTTTCCGTACCGAAATGGTCACGTTCCGAATAATAAGATTCCCAAAAAAATTCTTTCT